CCCTAACCCTAACCCTAACCCTAACCCTAACCCTAACATAATCTTTTGTAATTGCAATTCCGATTATATATATGAAAGAATAACGCTTAATGCTAAACTAATAGTTTAATGAAATGCTAAGTTTTTAATTAGCTGATAAATTGTCTAATAGATAGCGATCAATTTCTAGAATCTTATCGTCGAAGTCTCGCTTAATAGTTGAAGCATTAAAGAGCTTAAGATGTGAGTTTTGTAATTCGTAAAGAGATTTCTAATCCGGATTATTAATTATTCGAAACGAGCTTCGCGTAGATAATATAACATCTAAAACACCTTTTCGAAATGCTAATTTTAAATCTTAATGCGAAAGCGTTCTTCGTAATAGATATATTTATTTGATATTAGTTTTATTATTTATTAATTAGATTTATTAATCCGATTTATTAATTAGATTTACTAATCAGATTTACTAATTAGATTTACTAATCAGATTTATTAATCAGATTTACTAATCAGATTTATTAATTAGATTTACTAATCAGATTTACTAATCAGATTTGCTAATTAGATTTACTAGATTTATTAATCGAATTTATAAATAAAAACAAACGTATTAAATTGCGTTAAAGAGATTTAAATCTTAATTAAGTTTGCCGAAGCTTTTGTTTTAGCTTACTTATAACGCGTTTGCAAACGTCCGTTTTCTAATGATCGGCTAATGCTTTCGTTCTAGAAGCTTTTAGCTTCGGATGCTTTAAAGCTCGGTCGCACTTTTTATAGCATATTATAAGCTCTCTTATTGATTTCTTAGCTGCTTAAACGAATCTAATCTATATAAAAGAAGTTTTCTTTTTATTTTAATCGATTCGCAAAGGATTTTGATTAGCCTCTTGTTATTAAGAATACTATGAAGTCTGTGACTATTAAGTATTAAAAGTTTTAATCTCTTTGACGTTCCAAATATAATATTGATTAGAATATTTAATAATTGCTAATAGTATTAGGCTAGAGAAACTAATTGTAAAGCTTTCGAACTCTTGACTTTAAAATAAATCGGTATCTTCGTAAGTGGTTAAAGTAATTTAAGATGAAAACGAATTAATAGCTTGAAAAGACATGTTTAGATTCTAGCGAATTTGCTATTAAACTGTTGATTTGAACTTATATATCAACGTCTTATATACTTAAATATTGTATAGCATTATTTTATGATTT